TGTATGTATGTATGTATGCATGCATGTATGTATATACATATATGTATGTATGTATGCATGTATGTATGTATGTATGTATGTATGTATGTATGCATGCATGTATGTATGTATGTATGTATGTATGTATGTATGTATGTATGTATGTATGTATGTAGGTTTGTCTACATGTATGTATACGTATCTATGTGTATGCTATTGTGTACAGTTGCATGCGCGTATGTATGCATATAGTCATGCATGCATGCATTTTTTCATGCATGCATGCATGTACATATGTATGTGTGTATGTCTGTATGTACGTATGTTTGCGTATCCATACATTAACGTGCACTGGTGCTCGCTTATTCTCACCAGCTGTTATTTGACACATGCTTTGGTATAGTGTGCAACGCGCGCTCCAAACACCTTTCGGGAGGCACAGAGATCCTCTCGGGATGCCCAAGATGCCTCTCGGGAATCCAAGGAGACTCTCGCAAGGTCCAGGAAGAGTTTCGGGAGGCCCAAGATGCTTGTGGGTTGGCCCAAGGGGCCTCTCGGGAGGCCCAAGGGGCTTTTCGGGAGTCCCAGGGCCTCAGGAGGAGGCCCAAACCGTATCAAGCGGCCCACAAGGCTCCTCGGGAGGCTCGAGACCTCAAGAGGTGACCCAAGGGCCTCTCGGGAGGCCCAAGAGGCTTCTCGGAAGTCCCAGGAGGCTTCTGGGGAAGCCCACAACGTTACACCATTCCATCAAGGTCGATTACGCCGACTATACCAGAACGCTTCTGGGGATTCAGCCCCTGATTTCTGGGATTTGAATTGCCGGGGATTTCTTTTTTCACCCCCGCGTCCCCCTAAAGCCGCGCACCAAAGGTCCCTGTTGCCTAGGGTGTCACTGTTGCGCGTAGCCGTTGCCGCCTTCAAGGTCCCGCGCTTGCCCCGCAATCTTGAAGGTCCCTACAGGAGTGGTGGATGTGGATAGCAGCCCGCCCCTGAGAGCGGGAGAGTATCCTTACGTCGGGCCTGTCCCTCTACAGGAGGAATATTCAAAAACAATAAAAAAATATCAGGAGACGATTTTTTGTTTATTTTCGGGATTTTCTGAGTATGGTTTGATTATTCTTGTTCTTTCGTCCAAAGCCCCCCTGTAGGGGGACAGGCCCGACCTGAGAGTATCCACATCCAGCACTCCCTGGCCAGCTCGGGGCAGGCCTCCAGCAGCTGCGGGTGTGGCTGCACTTCCCGGCGGTCGCCGCGGCATCGGGGCGGCCTGGCCGCGCCCCGGGCCCTGGGGTCCGTCCCTCGGGGGGGGACGGGTTGGGCCGCGGGCTCCGCCGGCCAGCGGCGGTGGGGCAGCGGCGAGCCTCGCCCAATCGTGCTTTTCCATATGGCGGCAGGCTGCGGCAGGGGGGCGGGCGGGCGGGCGGGCGGAGGGAGCCAGGGGGGCGCGGGGAGGAAGGCGGAGGTGGCGGTGCGAGGGATTGCCAGGCGGAGCGGCGAAGAGGGGGGGAATACGGACGAGGGATAGAGGGAGGTGGTACTGGACTGCATATAGTATATTGGTAATAGAAGGGTTGAGAAGTGAGAGAGAGCGACGGAGGATAGAGAGAGAGAGAGAGAGAGGGAGGGAGAGAGAGAGAGATATGGAGAGAGAGAGAGAGAGAGATAGAGAGAGGGATAGAGAGAACATGTAAATGCACATCTAGAATATGAACAAATACTGTCCCCTCCCCCCTCTTGGCTACGCGAACCTCGCAACCATCTGTGGCAAATCCCGGGTACCACTCTCCCGGGCGTCCAAGAGAGCCCCCAGAGTGCCTCAAGACGGCCCAGGACGCCCCCGAGACAGCCCAAGAATTCTCCAAGGCTGTCTAAGACGGCCCCTCGACGGTTCTGGAAGCCCCCAACGAGCCCCCAAGATCGCTTCAAAGGGCCTCCAAGAGTCCCCCAAGAGCTCTGGGGAAACCCTCGAGAGGCCGAATCATTGAAAACCAAAGGGAAGTCTATGATTTTTGTGTTCCCGCATTTCTGCCTCCGATATGCTTCCGAGGCTTGCGCATGTGCCCCAAGAGAGCCTCAAGATGCCCCCTGTAGGCGTCCCGAGCGGAGCGAAGGGGTCCCAAGATGCCACAACAGGTTCCTATGACGCCCGAAGAGGCACCACCGAGGCCCCAAAGACGCTCCGAAGAGGCCCCAACAGCTCCCAGGAGTCGCCCGAGAGGTACCCAACGTTGAAGATGTCCAAGAGCCGCCTCAGAGCTCCCAAGAGCCGCCCCAGAGCTCCCAGAAGCCGCCCTGAGAGGCCATCAAAAACCCAGAGGAGGCGGCTCCTATCTCCTCGTCCGTCCCTTCTCCCTGATCCCGCTCTCCTCTTCCCTCTTCCCCGCAGCGTCCTTCCCCGCAGCGTGCTCTTCCCCGCAGCGTCCGATCCAACACCCAGAACTAACTGGTGCCGAAGCAGAAGACAAAGCGACGAAAACTGTGTCAGATATGTTAAGCAGCTCATGTGTTGCGTTAGCATACGCCTGAATCGCTCAAGTCTGATTAACTGTGTACGTGGTCTCTTTACAGCGTGTCCAAGAAAGGACCGACATACAAGTGCGTCGACTCAATGCAGTAACGCGCAAACTGCAGCAAGGTTCAGCGATACTTGTTTATCAGATGATGACTCCGGTAGAACAAGTTGACTCAGGTTATCACCGCCTGAGTAGCGAGGCGGGCGATGAAGATAAGGGGTATGACGTCTGATGTGCCAACCCACCATTGCGTGGACATCTGCCGAGCGGACAGGTGGCTGTGCATCTGATGGATGCATGCTGTAAGTCGCAGCGGCTGCAGGTAAGATCCAGCGGCTCCGCTGAAGCCTTCGCTGCGGCCCGCAACTTGGAAGACCGTTGCCCTACCAGCTCTGCGTTACACGAGCTTAATTAAGGCTGGACCACTTACTCCGACACACATTAAGAACATCTTGGAACTAGGTTGTCTAAGCCTCAAGGTGGCCTTTACCATCGACGCCGAGTCGGTCTTCAATTCTTTACCCAGTGATCCCTTGAAGAAGCCCGCTGAGAGTACCTTGTTGGGCCACATCCGTTGGATCCGGCAGGTGATGGAAACATATCTAGTATATAGCGTGTAGTGGTGTTTCACACGTGGCATAACGGCCGACACCCAAGGCTGCATCGACCGTGTTTATTACAAGGGATGGCAGGTATTGAGTCATTCAACTATGAGGTAAAAAGGTACGTACTTTTTCAGAGGAGGGCGGGCAGCGGCTTCTGTGCCTGCCCCACATCGGCTCGGCGGTTAAGGCGTGAGCGCAGGCATGGACACATGCTTGCTTCCGCCCGGTCACGGGCTACGCGCCTGCCGTTGCTTGGTCACGGGCTTCAGCCTTTTCCGCATCGCGAATTGTGGTGTCCGAAGATCTCTTCGGATACCCACCTCTAACTTTATGATTCAGGTGGACCCACTGCTCGGTTGGAGCGGTGGGCACAGGCTGCGGCGCCAGCTTTCGCAGCACCATGCATTTACACTATGACAGCCTTCTTGCCAACGAAAAAGGTTGTCCGTTATACTGCCTTGTACCTGTTGCTGCTGCTGCATTTCAAATAGAATGTAGCCTGACGCGGCCCGTCGCTCGACCCCCACCTCTTGACTTTGAACGGAGGTCAGAGGCGAGAAATGAGCGACGCGCCCGCGTCCCGATGCCGCTTGGACTCAAGCGACGTCGCTCTACATGACTGCCCCATGCGTGGGGCACTACAACCCCCTGGATTAAAAGTCCGGACCGCAGAGGTAGGGGAAGAAGCTTTGATGTTCGGTTCCCGCTAGGGCCTGGGGCCCCGGCACAATGTTGCAGGGGCCGCCATGGCAAAATTTCTGGTGCATCCTCACCCCCTGCATGTTATAACCGCCAAGTGGGTTGACGACCGGAAATTCGCATTCCGCCCAATAGTTTCACCCAAGAGTTCCCGGTCGCTTTTCAGACGACCAGAAATTTTCAGAGGCCACCGGATTTTGGCGATTCCGCTCAGGTTTTCGTCACAAAAAAATCTGGTCCCATTTATGTTGACTGAAAGTTGCGTTTCTGCTTGGGGCTTCCTGCAAGTCATGTTTACCTCTCTCGGCGTGGGCGATTCTAGACAGAACTTGTTGCTTCCAGTGCTCAGCGCCTTGCGGTGCCTTTCCGTTGTTCGGCGCGCGGGCCTGTCGCGGGGTCATCTCGGAGGCCATGGTCCAGAATCGAAGGTCCAGGAACAATCGAGCGTCGAAACTCCTGGCCCCATCTGATAGCGACGATGCAGGGGGGCCTGCAGTGCCGATCTGGACTGTTTAATCCAGGGGGTGGTAGAGCCTTCGAGTAACGCACAATAAAAAGATCATGGATAGTCATGGGAGGCGTAGAAGATGGTACGGCTTACCACATCCCTAACAGACGGATCTAAACATATCTACACAAATGTATGTATGTATGTATATATATACAGAGAGAGAGAGACAAAAATAGAGAAAAGAGAGAGAGAGAGAGAGTGAGAGAGAAAGAGAGAGAGAGAGAGAGAGAGAAAGAAAGAGCGAGAGAGAGAGAGAGAGAGAAGACAAACAACAAAGAGCAAAGAGAAACAGCGAGAGAGAGAGAGAGAGACAGATAGAGAAATAGAGAGAGAGAGAGAGAGACAGAAAAAGGGATATACACATATATATATATATATATATATGGAGAGAAAATGAGAGGAAGAGAAGACAGAGGAGAGATAGAGAGAGAGAGAGAGAGATAACAAGAGAGAAAGAGAGATAGCGAGAGAAAGATCGATGTGGCCCGTGCTGCCTGCATGGAAGCAGTTTTTGGTCAGAGAGCGCGACGGCTCGACCCGTCCAGGTTCCGTCGCGCTGCGGCGAAGCAGCGAGATCCGAAGACTGCTGCGAGGAGGCCTGGTGATTCCGCGCTGGCATGGCAGTCCGCGGGAGCGGGGGTTCGGGTGCAGCTCCTGGGAGGTCAAATTCTGATGTTGCCCTGGTCCGAAATCCGTCTTAATCCGGCTTGATCCCGCCTAATCCCGCTTAGTCCTGTTTAATCCAGCTTAATCCCGATTAATTCCGAGGACCACTCCAGCGTAACAGCTTCCAAATGGGGCTTAATCCTTCTTAAGCTTTCCGACGAAAACCTCCCAGCAGTTGCCTCCTACCGTGAGCAGAAAGCGGTCGCAAGGCTCAGGGCGACCTTGGCTTTTCTGGTGAATGCCTTCGCCGCGACTGTGTACAACACACCTACGATATGTATGAGCCCCCAGGTGGCCAACACTTCTCTAGAGACAAGAGGCCGTATCGGTGACGTTTGTGAGTCTCTGTTGTGTCCACTGCGCGCGAGTTCGCCGCTCGCCACCTCTGTCTGTAGCCATCCTTATACATGTGAGTTCTCTGATGACCATCTCTTCATGGCGCCGTAGCTTTGACGAGGTGGCACCCGCTGCGCGCCGGGGCCAACGCCGCAGGCCACCAGACGAGAGTGGCGCACGTGCATTTCCAGCAGCAGCGCTGCACTCGGGGATGCGGTCCGGGGGCCCCCTCGCCGAGGGCTCGCGGGGCTTCGGCCCCTCCTGGTCCGGGGACGTTGGCTCTCACCGATCCACATGGGCACTCGGGCACGGAACGGGGGAGGAGGCGGCGCACGGCTTCGGCGCCCACGTCCGCCGCGCCCCGCGCATGTGGCGGCGCGCCCTTTTTGCGTGAGAAAAGGGGCCGAGGCCCGAGAGGCGCGGAGGGGGTGGGGGCGCCTGCCGGGCCGGGAGGGACCGGGGGGGGACGCCGACGGACCACCTCACTGATCCTGGGGGGGCCCGTCGTGGACCCAGTGCCAGTTTCTATACCCTCTTGGTTTGGCCAAGGAGGCGTAGAGACTGGTCACGGGCTCAGGGTGGGCCCAGCCTGGCCAGGATCTGTGAGGTGGTCATTTGACGTCTCCCGAGAGGGAGGCGAAGGAGCCGTTTCGGACCTGTGGGCGCCGGGCGGAGATCTCAGTCGAGCTCCACCATCCCCGTCATGCCGCGGTCAGTTTTTTGGGGGAGAGCCTCGATATCTCGGCCGGATGGGGGTTCCCCCGTTCGCCTCTACGCTTTGCGAACACCCACAGCATCGAGAATGTACCCCCGCGCGGGTGTACTTCTCAGCCGAGCGCAACAGTCGGGGGCGTCCAAGAGGGGGATGCTGACTTGGGGGGGAGATATCATGGCGGGGGCCATGATGTTTCCCAGATTTCATGCCCCTTCTTCCCCATAAGAGCCAAATATCCTAAAGAATAGGGGTTCGTGTTTATTACTTCCCCGACTCACCTACCTCCTCCTGCTCCTTCTCGTCGCTCCGCCCTCCTCTTTCCTCCTCCCCAGTCGGGCCTAGTCGACTTACTCTACTCAGACTTGCTCAGTGGTGTGTCAGACTCTCGTACACAGACGCACTCACGTCAGGAAACAACACAGCAGATTGTGGTGGATGTCTGTGCTCAGGCGGGGCGCTGGTTTCAGCACCCCTAAAGGGGAGCCGCCAGGGGTGGTTGCACGGGCTCGTTCGCGGCCATTTTGTGGGGATGTCTCAGGCGGTTTGCTTGTTTCTGGGCTCAACATCCTTCGCTTGGATAGCAGATTGTGAGGATGTCTCAGGCGGGGCGCTGGTTTCAGCACCCCTAAGGGGAGCCGCCAGGGGTGGTTGCACGGGCTCGTTCGCGGCCATTTTGCGGGGATGTCTCCGGCGGTTTGCCTGTTTCCGGGCTCAACATCCTCCGCTTGGAGAGCAGATTGTGAGGATGTCTCAGGCGGGGCGCTGGTTTCAGCACCCCTAAGGGGAGCCGCCAGGGGTGGTTGCACGGGCTCGTTCGCGGCCATTGTGTGGTGATGTTTCAAACGGTTTGCTTGGTTCTGGGCTCAACATCCTTCGCTTGGAGAGCAGATTGTGAGGATGTCTCAGGCGGTGCGCTGGTTTCAACACCCCTAAGGGGAGCCACCAGGGGTGGTTGCACGGGCTCGTTCGCTGCCATTTTGTGGGGATGGCTCAAGCGGTTTGCTTGTTTCTGGGCTCAACATCCTTCGCTTGGAGAGCAGATTGTGAGGATGTCTCAGGCGGTGCGCTGGTTTCAGGCACCCCTGGGGAGCCGACAGGGGTGGGTGACGGGCTCGTTGGCGGCCATTTTGTGGGGATGTCTCAGGCGGTTTGCCTGTTTCTGTGCCCAACATCCTTCGCTTTCGGAGCAGATTTGGAGGATGTCTCGAGCGAGGCGCTCATTTCAGCACCCCTAAGTGGAGCCGCCAGGGGTGGTTGCACGGGCTCGTTCGCGGCCATTTTGTGGGGATGTCTCAGGCGGTTTGCTTGTTTCTGGCCCAACATCCTTCGCTTTCGGAGCAGATTTGGAGGATGTCTCGGCGTGCGCGTGTTTCAGCACCCATAAGGAGCCGCCAGCGGCGGTGGATCACGCTCTCTCTTTTTTTTTTGGGGTCGGAATAACGAAGTTATTGCTTGGCACAAATCCGCCCGCGCTGTGAACGACCCCGCGGCTGGCCGCGGGGGCGCCCTCGCTCGGCTGGTCGGCCGCGCGCTGGTCGACCCTCTTCCGCCTCCCGCTCGCGTCGTGTGGTGCAGTGCCGTGCCGGGCTTCCTCCGCCTGGCACTGGGGCGGGATATAAATACCGTGCCGTGTGTCGGGTTTCGGCCCTCCGCCCTCTGGGGGCTTCGCTCGGCCCATAGTGGCTTCCTTGCGGCCCATAGTGGCTTCGTTGCGGCCCATAGCGGCCTGCTGCGTTCACGTGCCCATGGGGCCCTCTCTTCTGGTCCATAGTGACCACGAGCTGTCGTTGGCACGCTCTCATTCGTCACCATGGCGCGCTGGCATGCAAGCGAGCGGGCTTCAGCTGGCGTGGTTCTCGCTCGTGCCCCGTGGCGCTGTGATTGCGATGGCGATGCTTGCCTTCTTGCAGTCTGACCCTGTTGTGGGCGCGAAGTGGACTGATATCCAGTTCAAGGGCGCCATTGATTGCCTGGCAGCCAATGGGCTGACGATGCCAGAAGAATTGGCCAATCTTCAATTCGGCGATTTGAAGGATGCCGATGGCGCGACGGCGCTGACGAAGGGCGTCCTGCGGCGCGCACTGGATCGCGCGACGGTGGCGGCAGCCAAGGCGAGTGCGCCGGGTGCCGCGGGGCCCGCGCCGGCTTCGGCGGGTCGTTTCGGTTCGGTTGCTGCAGAATTCCTGGGCTCCCGCCGAAGGGAGAGCATGTCGACATCGGCGCTGGCCTGGCCCAGATCAGCTTGAGGGACCTTCCGGAGTCCCTGTGGCCGAGGCTGCCGCGCGGCTTCGCCCCGGCGCGCTGGCGCGTTTCCATCGTTCGCTCAGGCAGCGAAGACCGATGCGCTGGCCACCGAGGTGCAGCGCGCGAAATCCAGGGGAATCGCGCGCCCGTTCATTTATACTGAGCTCGCGAAGTTCCAGCCGCTTTGCGCGCGCGGCGCGGGCGGCTCTCCCGACGATGACGAGCCCGAGTCGAAAGAGGCGGCCGCGTTGGCCAGAGCGTTCGGACGGGGAACCGCGGCGGAGAGCCAGCCGCTTCTGGCGTGGACGCCATGGCACCAAGCTTACGACGCGTGGAGCGTGGCGGCCGCGGTCACTGATCAGATTTCGTACACGAGCGCCATGGCTCACAAACACGTTGTTCTCCAGGCGAGTCGACATTGGCGCCCGTCCGCTGGTCGCCGAAGTGGGCGCGCTTGCCCAGGTTGCACTGGATGCCCCCCTGCAGGGACGGTAGGCCCAGGTTGCCTTGGTCTACGACCGCCTTGTGCGGAGGACGTGGGCCGAGCGTGCCGCCGCCGGCGCGGCAGGCTTCCAGGCCGCAGCTCCGCGCCATGCTTCGGCGCGTTATTCTCGGGCGCGCGTCGGCGCGCAGGTGAACGTTGCGGCGCTGTCGCTTGACGTCGGGCTGCTCCGCGCGGCGGAAGCGGAATATGATCGGGCTCTTAAGGCCGCGTCGCCGAATCCCTTGTTCGCGTTGCGCCACCGCTGTCGCGCAGGTTGCCGCGCCGGCCGGCAAGGGTGCAGGGAAAAGCGCCGCGGCAGCGCGCGGGCAGAGTGCGAGCGCCGCGAGCGCCGCGGGCGCCGTGGGAGCCGCGGGGGGCGCCGCCGTCACTTCCTGGAAGAACGACCGCGATTCCAGAGCCGACGGGTGGCAGTCCCGATCCTATCGCGGGGATTACAACAAGCGCTCCTGGGATTCGCGAACGGTGTATTCTCCTCAGAAGAAGCCGCGCGCCTGACGCCCGCCGGAGGCACGCGCAGCCCGCGGCGCGCGGCGATGTGCGGGACGCGCGCCGATGAGGACGTGCATCGCGCGCCACGTTGGCATTGAATAACAACGAATGGGCGCCAACCTCAGCCACCGTCCCGTGGGACCCGCAGGCGCGCGCGCGCGCGCTGGCAGGAGGGCGCCGCGTTGTTGCCGCGTCGTCCAGGGCTTGGGTGCCAGTCAACACTCGCGGTCCGTTCGCGACGCGAGGGCCGCCCGCCCGCTGGGCCAGGAGGCGCGCGAACGCCCCCGGCAGGCTCGAGCGCTCGCGCTCGCAAAGCGCAGGATGCGATGGGGCCCAGTATCGCTGCCACATGGGATTATCAGGCGCTGCGCGTTGTGGCGCGCGACGCTCGCGGGCTCGCGCGCCCGGCAGAATGCTGCCTCGAGTTGCAATGCACGCGGTTGCGCGCTGGCCACTGCCGGCTGCTGTCACCTGCCGTCGCCTGCGTCTGCTGAGGAAGCGCCTAAGCTCGCCTTTCTTGAAGAGGTCCTCTCCCGTTCTCACTCCTTCGAGGACAAAGAGGCCTTTGAAAAGGCCGTGGTGGTGCCCGGCGATGTTTTGGCGGCGATCGATTGGATTGCTGCGCGCTCGGAGCGGCAGGTGTGCCGTGAGCGGCGAGCGACTCTCGAGCGAATTCGGGCCAGGGACGCCGAGCTACGCGCCTCTGGAGCGACGGCGGCCTGGTTCGCGGGCTGCGATGCCCATGTGCGCACAATCGCAGGGTCGATCAACGGCCCTCTTCTCGTCGAACTGCTCGACGAAATCGGTTACGAGGACGCGGCCTGCGTGGAAGTCTTTCGGCGCGGCGCGCCTCTCGTGGGCCCTCTCCCGTGCACGGGGAACGGGCGTCCGGAATCTTTCCCTGTACCGCTCAGCCTGCCGGACTTGGCCGCGGGCGCGGAGCGAGGCAACGCCGCGCTGCTCGGCACGCTCAAGGAGTCTAGCGACTCCGCCGTGATTCTCACCAAAACTATCGCCGAAGCGGAGCTCGGCCGAATGAGCCATCCCGCGCCGCTCAGCGCGGTCGAGCTCGACGGTGCGGTTTTGTCGCCGCGGTTCGGCGTCCGGCAGTCGAGAGAGGACGGGTCCGAGAAGCTGCGGCTCGTAGATGATATGTCGCGCTCTCGTATCAACGCGGCGTCGCAGCCGACGGAGCGTCTCGGCCATGAAGCCATCGACGCTCTGTTTGGCACTTGCAAGGCATTTGTGACGCGCGTGGGCGAAGCGCCCGGGCTCTGGAAGGCGGACATAGACGCCGCGTTCCGGCGCGTGCCGCTGTTGCCGGAACATCGCGCCCTCGCATGGGTCGCGTTCCTCGTGGGCACATGCGTCTACGTGGCTCAGCACTTCGCCGCCCCATTCGGAGCGACTTCCTCCGTTCACAGCTGGGAGCGCATCGGCGCGAT